AATTTTAAAACATGCGTCATTTATACATTAATTCGATAAGCTTTTGCTCGACAGCTTTGTGCGATTATGGTGATCGAAGGTTCTTTCGGTAGAATATATTTAAAATGAAATAAAAGTTTTATTTCGTTAAAAATAAATAATGAATTTTACAAAAAAAAAGGGTAAATTATTTAACTTAATAAATCTCTTAGTTGGAGCGGTTATGTGATTTTTTTATTTAAGATTTTTCTTATTTTTATGTAATTTTTTTTATCTTTATTTCTTCAATGATATTATTCGTAACAGAACTTTTCAAAGTTCATAGACATTGATACGCGTTAAATTACAAATATTCTACTTTAATGTTATCAAATTGGTAAGTGCAAACTATTTTGGTTTGCAATATTTAAAAACTTAGCTACAGATATAAATGACAATACCCTTATTAATTTTAAGGGGTTAGTATGATCCTATAATCCGAAGGAGTGTTAAAATAAGATAACTAGAGTAGGTGAGCACTGATCTCTCCAGCCGCAGTAGTATAAGTCAGCCATTGGTCAGACATACGAACTGACGCTACACGTATTACACGTAACTTTTGACACCTACTCTAAAAAACCATTTGTCGAGAATAAAATACGCAATGGAAAGCCCGAAGGGGATATTTATTTAGGGTACGTTGCCAATGGTGGTTGTACCTTGAAATACACACTTGACACCCTCTTAACGCTATTTTTCTTCCAACTAGCCCTTCTTTTCTTATTCTCCCTTTTCGATTTACTGTTACTTTCTTCATCTCCTCCTTCGTTGTTTCTCTTTGTGTTTTTTTCTTTCGCTCGAGCTTTTAGTAAGGTTTAACAACATCCCCAGTGATCTTTATTTCCATTAAGTTGGTTCGAGTCATTTGTTATGATCCTGTAGGTTTTAGAGAGAAGCATTGTACTTATCAGGAATAATCCCACACTTCTTTAAATCATTCCTTGAATAGCTTTTAACTTGAAAGAAGGCTTACCTTCGTGTACAAAATGTTTCATAAATTATAACTTTAATTTTTCATTCCTCTCTATCTGAAAATTTCTGTTTTTCTACTCGGTCCTTCTGTTAATAAGATACCTATTTCAATTTCGATATTGACAAGCGTGAAGGAAAATGTTCTTGGTACCTCTCTGGGAAGAAAATTAAAACCAACGACGCGGCGTTCCTTTGACGAGTCGAAATTGGTCTCTGTCAGAACTTAATACGTTTTCGAGATATCGACGTATCATCTCGGCTGCTTGGTCGATGGATTTTTATTGTTTTCTTTCAGTGCTGCTTCATTCGACCGGCTGGCCCCCAGTCGATAACTGTGCATTATTTGAGAAAAACGGAAACAGAAACGAAATTTTAATCAGAAAACTGTCACCAGGAATACGAACAGCTTCTGATTCGTGATATGAACATTAAAAAAATATTAAACATACTTTATGTGTCGTATTAAATAATTAATTAAAACATCATTTTGATTATTACACGATCAATCGGTTCAGAATAGTTGTTTAACAAGGCACTTTTAGGGAAGTTATAAAGTGTATATGTACATCTATGTTTCACCCCCGATTTCAGACTAAGGTCCATCGTCTTAGAGTATCGAGCTTAGAAGCTTGAGACAATGGGCCGGGTGCTCGTCTTTTATTGAATTCTTTCCTTTTAGCAACCGGTAGTTCGAGCAGCACTCTGGATGTATATGTAAATGTAGCTTAGGGGAGTGTAATCCCATGGGAAGTCGAGCAAGGGAAGCGATGGAGAACTGCACTGAACGATATTCCGTCATTGGTGGGCGCACCCTTATCTTCGCTGTACACGCTCCTATATCACCCTTCGATCGCGAAAATAGAATCCTAAAATCACGCTAGTAACGATGTCCCTGTGCAGACCTATCGAAAAAATTCTTCTAGGTATTACCACTTTCTTAGAAATATATATGGGGTGCAAACGAATAACATAATTAAGCTCGAGAATCGTTGATTTTCTATCGAATTTTAAATTTAAAAGGTACAGATAGTAGTTCAAGGAAAAAGCAAGAATTACCTATTTGAGAACTAATTTGATTTCTAAAGCTTTAACTATCGAGGTGGATTCGCAAAGAATTAACGACAGTCCTTCTCAGAAATCAAAAGAAGAAACGCCAATTTGCCGTTAATCCGCAGAAGCTTTCCAAGATTCGAGCAGCAGTGATTCAGAGCCCTTCGAAGGGCCAGTAAATAGTACATAACGTTTATGTATCACATAGACGAGCACGTATAGGTAGTATAAATCAGTTATACTCAAGGATCTTCTTTCTACGACAAGATTATCGACGCTCGTCAAAGAGATTTTGTGCTATTGAGAAAAGAAGTTTATCTGGTCTCTTGCAAATTAATTTACTCTTCGTTATTCTGTGATCTTTTTACGCGCTGATCCAGTCAAATTTCCGTGGTATTTGTTGCATAATATTTTGTGTACAGGCAAAAATGTTAAAAGCGTACTACGTAACGTGTAAAATTTAATTATTGCACATCCTAACGAAACTAAGTAAGTTTAATTTATCTTCTGTATCTGGCGCAAGTATTTATGGCACGTTCTGCACCTCTGACATTCGAGATGGAATTTATAATTAATTATCTGTATAAGTAAAACGCTCTTTAAAAAGTCCTTTAAAGTATGCAAGAACTTACCGCAAAATATTGTTAAAAAAATAAATGATCTACTAGTGTGACAAATTTCTAAAAGTACACGAAGAACTTTTTACAATGTTTACCACTTCTGGAGACGACAGTGCATCGAAGTGGAAAATGTTTTCGGTGCATTTCGACCTGACCTCGACACGTTTACTCATCTTTGTCTGGTCGCTGCATATGTAAGTGAATGCGGTGCGAGCGACGTGCAGTATGATAATCTTTTACCGAGCACGATGGAACTTTTAACATGTGTTTCCACTCTTTATGTCACCCACTCGCTCTTTTGCTTTTATTCGTGTTGTCACGTACGCGTGTAATGTTTCTGACACGCTAACAAACTGCCGCAACGAAGCGCGACGTAATTAATGTTACTTTAGAGGTGCAACTGGGAAACGACAATTAAAATGTACCTTTAAAAGATAATAATCATTTCTTAACACATTGCCAAAGGGAAATAAGAAATTTCATTTCTGTATCTGACGCTTATTATTATTCAAAATTATCATCTTCAAATATGAATCTAAAATTAAATTTCAATTATAAGTTATATGATCGATTAGAAAAGATTTCATTGTCATCAGAGGGTTTTTATGGTACCAGTTATTCTTGAATCAATTAAACATTGCTAACACCTCTTAAAAACCCAGTGATCGTTGCCACCTGTGTCTCTATTGTGAACGAGACAATCCTGGGTCCCTCAAGTGATGTTCATGGGACATCATGATCCGTAGGGTCGGTTTAATGGGTGTCCCCATGGTGCGGTCACGTGGCCTATATATACGTGTATCTGTACAGCATATACATATAGGTGTGGTTATCTACGCCGTATGGGGTGGTATGCCATTAATAGCATAGCGTACGGTTGAATGACGTCACGTTGAATGATTTACAAGTAGGCTTTAGAATTCGACTTGATTACAAAATGCTGTCTTTTTTGAAGAAAGCATCTCCTAAAACAATAGAGCTATTTTAATAAAACAAACGTAGTATATCTGCTAGGGTGTATCTTGTTTCTAAACATCTATTCAAATAGTGTTGCGTAACATCCTTTTCTCTAACCCCTAAAGAAAATTAATCAAAAATAAAAATCAATTAATCATCATCTCTAGCATCATTTTTGCATTATTAATATCAAGAAAGCACCAAAAAAACGCAAGGCATGATAAATTTTGAAAGATCACCATCAGCCAGTCTAAGGTTCCTCGTATTATAATAGTAATTATTTTATAAAGGGGACATCAAAAGGGAGGAAAAACGTTATAAACCACCGGAGAAAGGGATGAAGGGAGAAACAACACAGCAGTAGCTTTCCCTGTGGGATGGTCACGTGGCCTATATACCATGGGAAGCCATGGGGATTCGACGTGTACGGCAATGGGTACCACATGACGGTGTCCCATAAATAGTCTGCCGGACGTCGGAATTTCCATTATATCGCGTTCCCGTACGTAGTCTCCATAAACAATATCATCGAACTCCGCGGCGAAACGGCGTTCCCCATTAGGTGTTTGTGTGCAATATTTATTACGGACGCGGTCATTGTGATACGCGAGATTTATGGGGAGGTTTATGCTGAAAATCTGCAGGTCGTTAGGGAGGAGGAGGAGGAGGAGGAACGGGAATAAGTTGGAAAATAGTTGAACAATTTGGGTGCTGTACGGTTAACATCTTGTTTACAGCACATTTACTTCGTAACTTAACCCATAATTGCTGTAATTGTTATTTTATCTCGTTAAAATTATACTGGCATGTACAAAACTTCATTGAAGTGCTCAGAAATTAATAGGTGAATTAAAGGAATAAAGAAAAACACAGTTGTAGTATATAGTCATTATTTTATTTAAACTCACATTTGTTGCTTTTCTGTGAATGGAAAATCGTTTGAAGAGAGTCGTTTGTAACAAATTCGTGAGTAAATTCACGTCTTGAAGGAAATAGTTCCACAGGCAATGGTATGGCCAAGTGTTTCAAGATACATTCCGACCGCAGGTGTTGATGCTCTTGGAACGGTTGGTTGTTAGCCGAATATTTTATGAGACGAACGAATACAGTTCTAACCCTCCTTGAATGATTCATTCAACGAGAGCGGTCCTTATACTGCACAATTACACTCTGGAAATTATGCGCTCGTATTTCTCTAAGAAGTCGCTTAAAATATACGATCTACTTAAAACCACTAGGTACTTATAATTGATTTATCAAAACCGACAACAGTCTGTAAATTTCCCAATATCACGTTTAATTCAATCTGCCATAAATAAGATGAATTAATAGTATAGAAAGTGAATTATAGGACACGGTGTAGCGTGAAAGTTTACGGTTTGTTTAACAGTTTCCATGATCCACCATCCGAATTTCCCCTTGATTAATGTATACTCCTAGTTTGGACTTGATCTCCTTGAAAACCGGCAAAGGCAGACTTCTCTCCCGGGACCAAATCATAGAGAACTTGTATCGTTGCTGGTGAGACGAGCCATTATCCGAACAGACTAGCATGCCAACGACGCTCTTGTACTTTGCCTCAACTATAACGTGCTGGAACGGTCCTGGGAATATAAAATTTTAAACTTAGTAAACTTGTCATTTCCTCACCATCCGTTCGAAGCGGAAACTTTCTCGGATGGGGTACGGGAGAACGTCGATCAGCTTATCGCTATGGATTATGAAACGAACTTTGATCGATAGAGCATGTTCCAACATATACATTACGCGTAATATCGATAATATGGTATTGGAAATATTGATCGATACAAATTGCAAAAGTTTATAAAAAGCTGATCGTCGTAGAATTTAGCGTTTAAGTTTTAAAAGGGAAATTAAAGCAACTTGCCTAGTATCCTTTTAGATCCCTGCAATTGCCAAGTTCCAATAATCTTGTTTCCATTGGTACTTCCATCAACGTTGAAACTGATTGGAATATTATTTTTGTAACTAACGGCTGTGAATTTAATCGCGAAGGTGCTGGGAGATGTCTGTCTAACCAGGAACCGTCCACATCTACTTAAACTCTCATTGATCGGCGTGCCAGCCGCGAAAAACCATTCACCTGCAAACTAATATTCAATTTCAAGTTTGATCACACAATATTTCATTTTTATCACTGCAATTATTCGATTTCATATTTCAAATTAAATTTTCCATTTGCCACGTTGAATTTTTTTTCTGATGGTAGAATGTATTATTATCTCATAATTGTTCGATAGCAACATTCTGTTTTATAGGTTCTGGCGAGACACGTAAATTAGAATCGTGCTTATGCAGCGAAATTTGAAAATTAATGTGTACGATTGAGCGTAACGAGCCAATATTGACAACCTTCGGGGCAGAGCGTGCGAGCTCACGATCCGCCGAGGCAGCACCTCCAAATTTACGTGTGTCGACATAGTCGAATCGTGCTCGTGGATATCGCATGACCGAATACGCTAGCGACGCTCGTTTCCATTTGCCACGTTTCTAACGAACGACTCACCTACGGGATAATTATGTGAACGCGATCCTGTTTATATGTACACACGTACACGTGCCGTTGAGTTTCATGCTTACAATTGTTTTGGGAGATAGCTAATCAGACGAGATACACGACATTTCGGTAGCTTTTCATTATGATAGTAGAATCATTTACATATCTCCAGGATAATTTACCAATTTGTTAATCTGACTAATTACTAAAAGCGTTATCAAACTTTATTTTCTGCAATTTGTCAAATCTTTCCGAGCGCGGACCATGGAGAGAGCCTCAATTTCAAAAATTATTCCTTCAATGTATGAAACTCTTTCGTTTAAATATTATAAATTTTTATAACTATTTTGTAAATTTTCGATCTCGTTTGAGCCAGGCTTGGCTGTTCAAGGGTTAAGTAAATTAATATTGAATTATCAAGAACGATACCTGCTTCAAGTCCAACGACTGGCCAATATCCGGAGAACACGCCGTACAGTAGAACGTCAAACATAACGCGAAAATCAGCACCGGAAGTATCACTCGCGTTCGCAACATTTTCCGCGTTTCCCTCGAAACGATTCTGTTCGTTCGGTGTTGCGGACTGTTCGGAATATTGAAAGCGTAAACGCGGATTCTGACGGGGTTCCAGTTCGTTATCTACACAGCATCACTCATGGGGATTTGTGTAGTCTACGTCACTAGCGGAACGTACATGTATATCCGACACAGTCTGTAAACGCACGATCGTGTTTAAATACCCGTAGTTGTTCTGTTTACCAACGCTGCTGTTTATATACACGAACGAGAACGCGGGGCACGTTTGTCTTCTGAATTTGCCTATCGGCTTCTTCAGAATCACGACGTGAAATCGAGTCGTTCGCGCTGATGCAGTTCAACACGGAAATCAAGAGAATAACGAATGGTAATTATACACTTTCGTTAAAAAATCATATAATATTTATTAAAATTTTAAAAGACTTAAAAAGCAGAAATTTGGAATTTCATGCCGATTAAATGAGGTAAAGTAGCAATTAATCAAATTTTAAAGGATAAAGTACTTAAAGTCTTTGTTACTGTTCTAAAACGATAACCTTTCCAACGAGTCCGTTCCCATAAATCAGACCGTTCGGAACTCGTTAAATTAATCCCTTAATCTTCGTTTGCGAAATGATTCCGCAAGAACTGCTGCTTCCTATCCGCCCCTCTCATTTGTCGAGGAGAACGTAAACCGCGTTTACTATCCCCCGAATGGCTGTTTACTATTCTGACGAAAGTTATAACTGCACCGTGTCTCGGACGATAATACGGTTTTACGATTTGGAGTGCAGTTAATTTTCTCGTCAATTCGGTCTTGATAAGTGTTTGTCTAAGCACGAACTGTTGACTGAAGCTTAGCTAAGAATAACAGTTTGAAACATTGATGGTTATGGTAGCAACGATGTTTGTCTAACCGTTTAAGTTCACTTCGATTCTGAACTTCTCAATTTGTAATAAGAAATTTGTCATTTTTATTGAATCTTAAACTTTGAAACGACATGCCATAAGTGTTATTTCGCGATACTTTTATGCCATGAAACTACGATGAAAATGAATAATTGTCATTCGGTGGGAAAAAATTTAATAATTCATTGAATTTACCGCGAAATTTCAAAAGATCGTTGTTGAAATTTTTGAAAAGGAAAGCCTTAAATCTTGAGATTCAGCCGAGCTTAATCTCACCGGTGGGTGGCCGTGTCCTCGAAGTTTATTGAATCGTTTTGTCGGCCTTTTGTTTCCGGCACGCGATCTTTCTTCAAGGGGGGCTGTTCGAGCGGACAGCGTTACGGTCCAGTTTAATTTATTTGCCGTCATTATTACGTCGTGATTAAACCGGCCGTCTCGATTGTCCGAGGGATTCCGTTCCATGGGGAAGGATGGTCTGACTTTCGGTTTAATTAAAAAAACGCGATCACCGTTTTCAGAAGTCCCTTGGTTATTCTCTTTCTCGCTCGTTCTTTGTCCGAATGGAATCTCTGTCAAAGCTTTGCCAGGATATTTCCACCAATCAACTGGAAACGCTTTTCCTGTACCCGCCAATTTGTTTTCATTCGTTGCGCGATCTTAAATGAAGGGAAACCGAAATGTTCCTCGAAACGTTACACATGAATACGATCGTAAACAGTGGAAACTCAATCGGTGGATGATAAAACGTATGGATAGCCAGGCTAAGTCAAATAAGATGTGAAATATTGAAATACAAAGAACCAATCCGAAATTTTAACAAAGCTTTCACCATTTCTTTCTTACCTCCGCAAAATAACTCTTATGGAAACAGCTTAGAAACAGCTTAGTCGTGGAGAGAAGGGAATGCAATTAGAAGTTTATCCGGCAAGTAGCCTCGAGAGGTGAACGAAAACGATAGTTTCACCTTAGAAAATTAGCTTCGGGTCTGATAAAGGGTTGGTTAGTAACGAATTGGCGCAATCGTCGGCTACCACCCACGCATCGCGATACGTTTCTCGGTAGAGACACACAAACGTGCATCCAGTGAGAACGATACGGAAATGGGAAGGTTTGTTCTCCGGTAGGGGGATACGTTTTCACAGCGACGAGCTCTCTAACAAGGTGACCGCAATCTAGCCAGTACAGTACCCAATTAGCGATGACCCGAACCAGCTCAATTCCAGTGGCCCTTAAAACTATGAAATTAGTTCTCTCGCACGGGACACGGGTCCTTCCCTTGGAATCATTCTTTTCTCTGTTTTCCCACGCAACCAGCACGGAAACGAGAACAAAGAACACGATGACACTCTGAAGAGTTTCGCTTGCTTGGAACATAATTCTGCAAATTGAAACGCTTGTGCCTGGGTAAGCGAATGAATTTCACGAAATTGTTGAAATTGTTATACGAGAAACGAAAGTTTGTAAATTACTTTGAGTATAAATAGTTTTCAATTATTTTGTTATACGTACTCTTTTAACTACCCTGATGCAATTATCTTAAATTTGAATAAATGTTTATCCTTTCAGTATTTCAAGTAATATTTAAACATTTACAAACGTACATTATGTTGAAATTACGAAATCGTTTTTCGTAAAATCTAGAGTTAACGCACAAAAGGGATTTCAGGATGAAAAGAGTCGTCTCGTTAAAACGCTGGTACGGAGGGTCGGGAAAGACGAAACTTTTACGAAAGCTGGCACGGGCAGGAAATTTTACAGCGCACACAATGAAATCGAGGAAAGATGAAGAAAGCGCGAGGGTAGATGGTTCGAGCGAAGACGAACACGGATGATTAATGTACAAAACGGGTCTGTATAATTACTTAATTAAATTCATGCATCACGCGGTATTATGGGACGCACGTTGCAATTCGGCCCTCTGTAACGACCCTTTTGATGCGAAGCCTCCATCTCGATAACATCTCGAGCCCCCCTTCGAAACGGTTACTACCGCCTCACTTCTGACTCATTGATATTAGCCCGTGTTCCTAATAGACGAGCATATCAATAACTGATATCGCGGCTCCAGGGTACACGTAATTGTCTCGTATTATCCGGCTGAGTTATCCGAGTTATCTGGTTAATGAGAAACGGTGGTTATCTGAGGTTTGCTTGACGTAGATAACGGAGATGTGGATACAAAAGCTTTGTATGATAATCGTTTCGTTGTTTTCTTGCTATTAGTACACAGTATTGAACATTTCAGAATTGAAATAATGTAAATGCCAGAAGTGAAAATTAATTAATTATTTGAATATCGTTACAGGAATACCTACGGTTAATTTAGCAGCGACGAGTAATTCATACTTATCCCTTGCAGGTACAATTGCACGCATACGTCAAACGAGGGGGCTACATTTACCGGGGGTGGTTTCGTTGGTTTGGTCAGGAAACACGGCGATATTGGGAATTACAAGCAGACCGTCTTCCTCCCCCGTAATACCCTTGAAGCATTTGAATCAATTACTGCCTCGGGGTTCTTAGGCACCCCTATCCCGCATTACAAACGGCTAGTCCGGCGCAAAGTGAATTAATTAAGTGTCCGTAGGTAGGAAGGACGTCGGGTTCGAGCCGTATACAGACTCCAGGACGTGTTACGATCGGTTTCGCGACAGACCCATGCGATCGACCCCAAGAATCCCTGACCAGTAGCCACGAAGATCGCTTGATTGTCTCCGCTTAATTGTTAGCGAACTGGAATTGCTTAGTCGATAACGACGTTATCTTCGAGGACACGATTAGCCTTGGCACGATCTCGCGAACCCACAGAACGCGACCGGGAATCGAATTCGATCGGTTAACAGGCTACCGGTGGACGACCGGTGTCCATTCTGCTAGTTTGCTGCGTTTAGGGAATGAAAATTACAGAATGAGAGGCTGTTACACGAGGAAATTAGCTGGAAGAAGGCACGACCACGAGCGATTAAGTTTCCCTGGGAATCGTTATCGGTCCATGGGGAAGGATTTGCTATTTCAGAGAACCTAACAGTGAAACAGATGGGTATTTTAGGTGAAAACAAATCCTAGAATGATTTATTTGACTTACATCATTTTTATATAATATATTTGAAGTTGGAAAAATTTCTTTTGCAGACCACTGAAAATATTAATTAAAATTATCTACACGAAAGCATTTTAATTATATTGCCTCGAAATGGATGCAAATAGACTAGAAAGACCGTCACAAATTTCCAATAAGCAGAGAAACAACGGCGAAAAGAAAAGCCTTCTCAAACCGACAGAAGGAAAGACGAAAGTAATATCGTGAAAGTCGGATGTTCGACACAGGAGTACAAACACAAGGCATTTGCATGGATCTTTAGTTTGTGTTTTCACGTTGCTTCTTATCTCTGTGACGTCACAGTGTGCCAGAACGATTAAACTTTTCCCTTGTTGCGATATTTCCCGCTGGACAATGCGCCAGCAGCAAAGAAACCATGACAATGCTCTATTTGCATTTTTAGCTGGAACTTTCTGGTCATTCGCGTGCTTTTCTTCTTTTTTTTTCTTTGAGCCCAAGTGGCCAAGTTGCTGGATGAAAGAAACTTCTCGAGATTTTGGGCTAATGAACCCGTGGCAGGCTAGCATTGGCACGCTACGTGTAATAAATAGCTTCTCGGGATAAATCAATTTGCCAGGATGAATCTTGGAACATGGCCAATCTGCTTTGTAAACTTCGAAGTCATTGCTGGAATCCTCTCGCGATGATTCATTTCGTTGCTTGCCATCTATTTTATCTTTCCTGGCAATGTTTATAGGGTGCAAAAATAGTAGTTGAAATTGTCATTTCTTCTGTCTTCCATAATTTTATTTTTATAAATTACAGAATTCTTTTTAGTCATATTAATGTAAACAATTTTTTAAAATATAATTTAGACTGGAGTTAGGCATTATTACTTGAATAAATTTTCATTTAGAATAAAAACGTATTCGATTAATTAAAATAATAAATAATTAAAAATTCAATTAGTTATTCAGAACAGAAAAAATCTAATTTTATTTTGAATAAAAATGTCTTTAAATAAAAAATGATTCCCTACTTTCAAATAATTTGGTTGTATTCGAGACTTTTA